AGTTCAAGAGATAAAAAATGCGTAGATGTTGGTGCAAGAGATAAAAAATGCAGTAGATATCAGTTCAAGAGATAAAAAATAGTCTAGATAACAAAACAAGCTATATAAAATAGCATTGATGACAGCAGGAAGGATAAACATTACTTTATTAGTTTGGAAACCACATCAGATTAGTTTTTTATAATAACATTGTGAAATTGTGACTCAAAATGAAGAAAATCTTCCTGGTTAAACTGTAAACTTGTACCAAAGTTTAGAGATTTATAAATGACTTCTATAAAAGACCATTAAAGCTTGCATGGAAGGACATTCTGAAGAGATGGTTTAGAGAGAGTCGTCTCCAGAAAGTAAACAAGGAGGTTTTTTCTTGCCTAGTAAAGCAACTCTATGACCATTTAACAGAGAAAAATGCAGTAAGTCCATTCAGAGGAAGTGGGCTCTATCCATTGAACAAAGAAGCAGTTCGATATAGGATTGTTTCAGCTGTCAAGCCAGTGGAAAGCAATCAACAGCCAGTGGTTTTAGCTTAAAGCGTTATGGAGTCAAAAGCACACAGACCTATGATTCAAGTTCAACCAAGTGTTTCACTTTTAGAGACTCTAGACACTAACAGTAACACATCTACTGAATCTCCCTTTAAAGTGCTACAGCGGGCATTTTTGAAAACAATTTTGAAAACAAAAACCAGGTTGTTCACAAAATAACATGGATGCAATTAGTAATGCTGGAAGAAAAAGAAAAAGAGTGCAGGCAAAGGTTAGAGAAGTCTTAACAACAGAGGATGTTGCGATCAGGCTGTTTAATGAAGAGAAAGGCAGATTGACAAAGAAATCCAAAATAGCAGGTTTCAAAAATCCAAGCCAAACTAGTTGGCCTAACCGACAAACAAAAGAAATAATGACTGAAGAGATTTAGAATGTCCAAAAAGAAAAGGACAACTTCAACGTAATTGTTGTGGATTGGGTGCTGTTATAGTATGCTGGTAAAAAAATAAACCATGAGTTCTATGGACTTGTGATTGAAACCCCAGATGAAGGCTAACTGGATGAAGGTAAACTGTGAAGTTTCTGACAAAGTCACCAATAGGGTCATACTATGTTTTTCCTGAGAATGATGACATTGATGACATTGTGGATAACAATATCTTGAAGAAATTGCCATAGCTTTCCTGCAATAGTCGTGAGCAATACAAATTTCCTTAGCTAGATTGATTTGTGAGACTTATTTAATCAAGGAAATGTAAGACTAAATGATTTTTGTGGATCATCTTCACTCAAATATACATATGTGCAGTGTAAGTGTACACTTTCCACACACATTTTGATCATAAAAAGTATTATTTTGTTTAATTTTGAATAAAATTTCAGAAAAGTTATTTTTAATTCTTATTTAAAACGTTTAACTTTTACCATCAGAACCCCTTACCCATTTTACCCCATACTATACCCACTTTACCCCGCACCCTTGAGTAAAATGGGTATACCATGGGGTAAAATGGGTATAGGCCCTATCTCAAAAATTGTAAAATAAAAATATTCTCTCTAAATTGATTTTAATTCTAAATAGGTTAAATGTAAAACTTTTGAAATAAAAATTCAGTAAAATTAATTACAGTTCAACCAGTGCAACTGCAAACAAAAACCATTTCAATTTTATACCAATTTTGACCCTATAGTTTGAAAAAATTAATTACTATGAAAATTTGTTTATCTAAATATTTAGGATAATATAATAAATGTTTAATTACATAAACAAATAAATATTGCTTATAACTATTAAAAGAAACAACTAAGGTTTTCATTATATGGCTTTTAGTTTAGCTACTTTTTAAAAATTTAAAAGTTTTTTATAAAGTCTTGTTGTTACATTAGAGTTAATTATATCAGTTATTGCTGATATAATTAACTCTAATATAACAACAAGATAATAAACAAACTATTGGTTCATTATGCACATTACTCTAATCATCTAAAGATATTGTTACTGTTTTTTATTCTGGATGAATCATGTTGAAATATAAAAAAATCACGAAAAGAAGCTTTAGTAGTGTATAAGTAGTGCAATGGGTGAGTTTGAAGAAGTACGAGACAAAAGATTAATAGAGACCATTGCATGTTTGGAACCACCTAAAGGAGAACAAGGAAAAATCGAACATAAACTAGAGTCAGACACAAATCAAGGAGTATAGGTAAGTGATTAGGGCTATCTGGGAAATGAAAGTTAACTTTCTGAGTAAAAGATTGAAAAATTAGAAGTTATGAGTCAGCAGAGTCAGTGGTGTTAGAGCCTAAGTCTAAACTAAACATTTTGTAAAATATTTTTTAAACTGCTGCAGTTAATAAAAAAGTTCATACTATATATTAATAAATTTTCTTCTGACAACAAGTAAGCAACTAAGCTGAGGTTGTCTGTAATGCAAACAGTATTTACCATAATTAATGTATTATTTAACATTTAACTTCAAATTAAGGTCCCAAGATTCAAATATTTGCAAGAAGCAGGGACAGTATTAGCCAATCAGTGTGGTGAGCATTAAAGTCACCAACAACAGCAATATTGGCAGAGGGATAAATAGAAAGGGTATGGCCAATATGATCAGAAATTTCTTCTAAAAGATACACATAAAACAATGGTCATAGGATTCAAACCTGATTTCTCAACAAATAGATGAATTAGTGTCCAAGCCAAGCATGTGACTATTGGAGTCTTTGTAAATCAAAGGATAGCAGCCATCAATATTTTTATTCAACAAGCCTCAAAAATCAAGTATTGTTCCAGACCTTTGGAAAAAAGAAAACATACCCCTAATTATAAAAGCAAACTTAAACCATCTATTTATCTCACAATCTCACTAACTTGAGTTGTATGTAAATTAATGGAATGTATTATTTAAGATAAGATAAAGAAATCTTTAATAGTGCACAAATTGATAATAAACAACAACACAGTTTCATTAATAAAAAAAATGCACAACTGATCTGCTTGAAACCTATGATTTTATCTCAAAGGCACTTGCAGATGGATACAATGCAGATGAGATATTAGAATTTACAAAAGCATTTGTTTTATTGTTAAAGTTATTAGTAAAGCTCGATTGGCTCGATTAGTAAAACTCGATTGGCTCGATTAGTAAAACTCAATTGACTCTAGAAATAAACTATTATTGTGGTGTAACAGTTTTCTAAAGCTTTCAAAGAGCAATAGTTGCAGAATTTGTATCAAAATGGGAGAAAATAGATAGTGGAATCCCTCAAGGGTATAGTATTCTTTGTAATATTTATAAATGATTTATTAATTAGAATCAACAATGAACGCAAACTATTCTCTGACTAAACTCCCTGACTAAACTTTTAGCAGTCATTAAATTAGAATTAGATAACTAGTTTACATAACTAAATATTTAATATTTTAAAAGTATGGACAGATGACTAGCACATAAAGTTCATTATGTTTTAATGTAAAGTAATGCATTTTGGAAATAATAACCCTAAATACAAATACAAAATTGATGAAATTATTATTTCAAATGATCTTGATTGAAGTTACCATATCCTATGCAGTTGATAAAGCGTATAAACAAATTGGAAAAGTTAAACATGCATTTGAGTTTATAGATGAAAGTATTATTAGCTTATCATATAATCTGTCAACTGTTCCCTTGCTCTTTAACTCTATTCTTTATTTTCTATTAACTCCCAACTTAATAGTGGTTGCTTGCAGCCTTGTCGGAAATGAATCAGAATAATGATAAAAAAAAAATTAGTTCCTTCTCATCTCGAGTATGGAGCAATTATATAGAAACCTAAAAAAGTTCAAACTAGATTGACCAAAATATCAAGTTTTGTTTGTTGTCATGAAGATTAGAAAACAGGAAAAGGCATGGTGATTTAATCTAAATGTTCAAATTAATAAAAAAAAAGAGACAAAATAAATTTGCATAACCTAATTAAATATTTTAACAGTAATGGTCGTGCAAGAGGCCATAACTTAAAAATCCATAAAGAATTATTAAATACACAAAATAACTGCAAATTGAACACAATCATGCAATTTTTTTTCTAATAGAGTTGTAAATGATTGAAATGTTCTTGTACAAGAATTTATTGAACAAGTGTTAATCATTTTAAGAGCCACATTGATAAACACTTCAAATTTCAAACTACAAATCTCAGAACATTGTTACTTCTTTTTCTTTTATTGTTTTTTATTTTTATTGACTGAAATTTTAGGTAATATCAGTTTCAACTCAAATGAGTTACATTACATGAGTTATCATTTCTATTTTATCTGTTCTATTCTAATACTGAGAAATAAAGTAGAAACAGCCATATTTTAAGTCTCACAAAGTGCAAGCAAGTCTGAGTTTTGCAAGAGCTAAGATGCAACTGATGGAAAGTTACTTCAAAGACCACAAATATTTGTAAAAAATATATTGAAATAGTGTGGATGGTTATTTATGTTTAATATTTTTGTTGGTTTTGATTTAAGTTTAGGAGAACGTGACTACCTGTCTTCACTTGAAAGCTTCATCTTTATTACTAATTTCTTTTGTATACGTATTGCAAATTACCCTACACATTTTTTTTCAGGAAAATATTGGATCATCGTATTTACTTTCAGTTGTATACACAACATATACAAACTAACTTAAATTAATTATAATTTTTTTAAAAATTTTACAAAAAAAAAAAAAAAAATTTATTAAACATCAATCGTTTAACCATAAATTAACACTTAAAATTCTTGAAAGATATTTTCACATAGTCTTCAACAATGCTTTTTATTGTAAATTTATGAACTTGGTTTGAAACTTTATTACTGGTTTAAATCATTAGATTAAACCTTCGATTTAAACCTAACAAGCTTAACTGCAGTATAGATTTTTAGTTATACCTATTGTAGTATAGACTTTTAGTTGTATCTGTTGTAGTATAGATTAGTATAGATAGTATATACAGTTGACTTATATTGACTACAATTATAAAAATTTTTTTTTTCAGGTGGAAATCTGTTTGATTTTTTGCAGCAAAGGCAGCAACAAAATATGCTTTTAGAGGAAGATGTAAGGAACTATTTATGTAATAATTAATAATTGTTAAAAACAAAATTATTAATAAAATATATATGTAATAAATATTACTTATCAGGAAATTCTCAAGTTCTTCGCCCAAATTACAAGAGCTCTTCATCACATTCATAATCAAAACATTCTTCATCGTGACATGAAAACTCACAATATATTGCTTGATAGAAGGAAAAAAGTGTTGATGATATGTGATTTTGGAATTGCAAAATTTCTCACTAAAACAAATGCAATAACTGTAAGTTAAATAATTTCTCACCTAAACACACAATATAAGTTAATATAAGATAAAAATTTCTCACATAAAATTATTGAGGAATGAGTTGGATGGAAGAGGATGAGGAATGAAATTATTGAGGATTGAGTTGAGGAATGACAAATTAGTTAAAATACAAATGTATATAAATTAGTTTGTTTCTCGCTATTTTTTTAACAATTTCACCTAACTTAAGTTTTTATGAGTCTTTAATGAAAATTTTAAAATAACAGTGCAAACAGACTAGTTAAAAAATTTTTATTATATATTTATGAACTTATTTAAACTATAAATCAAATATGCCAAAGCCAAACGGCTGCTTTGGTAGATTATAAAAAAGATAGATGTTAAAAAAAAATTACACATTACATAATAATATATACAGTATATTACAATATTATATAATAATTACATGATATGTAATTATACCCTGCAAAAACCAAGCTAAAAACTCATTGTATTTTTTTAGACTGTTGGTACAGCTCATTATATGTCACCAGAAGTTGTGGAAGGCAAATCGTATCTTTTTAAACACATTCAAATTTTTTTTCATGTTTTAAGTAAATGTTAAGCATTATGTTAGTTTAGTTAATTTTTGTAAATGTAGTTATTATTATAAATCTTATAAGTATTATAATTAATATTTATATCAAATTAAACATTTTAATATTATTAAATAATATTTAGAATATAAATATTATATTATTTAATGATATTAAAAAGTTTAACATTAGCTATTCAAAAATTCTATGTCTATATCCTATAGATAATGTCTATATCCTATAGATAATGTCTATATCCTATAGATAATGTCATAAAAATATATAATATATAGAATGTTGGAAAAAAATAGAATTAATAACTGAAATTTTTTTTTAACTTATTTTAATTTGAAGGGTATCAAACCTCACATTTTTTTGTTCTAAAATTCTTTATTGATTTTATAATAACTAATCTAATACTCTAAGGTAACTAGGGTAACTAAGTACCAAAACAAATACTACTTTATAAGAAATAAGTGTCAGGCTATTGTTACCAGACTTGATTATTTCTACAATATCTAGCTATCTATTTTGCATCTTTCTGTTAAAAATAAAAATAAAAAACATAAAAATTAACTAAACTATCTTTTAAAAATAATTTTATTTTTTTTAACCTCAATTTATGTAATAGATTATAAGTGCAACATTAGCATAAACTTGCATATATTTTGCATATATGTTGGAGATATGTTGCATATATGTTGCATATATGTTGCATATATGTTGCATATATGTTACATATATGTTTCATACATGTTACATATATGTTGCATATATGTTACATATATGTTGCATATATGTTGCATATATTTCTGTTGCATCAAGTGCTTTTTTTGTAACATTAGCTTCAAAAGATTTACAATGTCAGGTTGTGTTTTTAAATGTTTGTTTCAATGTGCAGCAGCCAAACGCAATCAGTTTGTTTTTTACAAAAAAAAAGTTTGTGTTTTAGAGTAAAAGGCTTTAGACAGAACATTTTTATCAGGTAATACTATATCTTACTTACCTTATTATTGTCTTATTATTGTTTACATAAAATTGACTGTACTAAAGGTTAGTAATCTAAAAATTATGTAGCTTAGTTAAATGTAGGATTATATAGCTGTTTTAACTAAATATAGAAAATAACTTTAAATATATCTTTGATAATTGTTTCTTGACTTCTATAAGTTATAACAAAAAAAGTGATATATGGAGTTTGGGATGTATTCTCTACGAGTTGATCACTTTAAAAAGAGCTTTTGATGGTGATGTAAACATTTTTTTTCTTACACTGTTAAATTTTTAATGTTTTTACTTAGTATATTGTTAACAGTTATTTTTAAGTAAATCATAAAGTATCAATTATTATTTATCATCATGTTCATGATGATGAACTATGGCAATTTTACTTGTTGTGACAACTTGGGCTGCGGCTGGTGAATTTTAACCCAAACTTGGTTTACTTGTTAACTAATAACCTTTGTTGCAATAATGCTAATATTTCCTTTCCTAATGAATGGAAATATTCATTATTGATTATTGCTATTGATTCATTATTGTCACAAATATTGAGTTAAACTGTGGCTACAATGTTCAGAATTGTATTAAGAACAGGCAACTGATCTTCAACTGATCAATCTGATCTCTCTTTTGTGACTTGCAGTAGCTGACGAATAATGACCAAGACAAAACCATTGGTTGGTTATAAGTCTTGGTTGTAGCCAAGACTTATAACTATGGTTATAAGTCTTGTAACTATTATTATAAGTCTTGGTTACAAGCCACTAAAACCTTGTATTGATTAAAAACTCTTTTACCTTAAATATGTCTAATTAAAAAAATAGTTATTAAACAAATGTTGCAATTATGGAATTTTACTACTAAAGGAGTGTAAAAAAGTTTTTGTGTTTATTGTCATAAATTTGTGGAACACGTTTATGACAATAAACCTAATAGTTTTCATCAAAAGAATTTTTATCTCATATAACTATGCATTCACTGTTATATAACTTATTATCTCGCAAGTGTATTATCTCACAAGAATATTATGAGCATTTTTTAAAGCAATCAGTAGTGAATGAGTAGTGTCAATGCAATGAGAGGTTTGAAAAAAAAAAACTTTTTTGTAGGAAGAAAAGTAAAAACAATTAAAATATACAAGATAATAAACACTATTACTATTTTATTTAATAAACAGTGATAAAAAACTTATAAGGTAAGTGGTAATGTTGGTAATGTAAAAAAGATAAGTGATGACTTTTTAAATGAATATAAGTTTTATGTCATTTTTTAGTCATTAAGTAGCATTATTCAAAAAATCATAAAGCGAGGTTTTTCATCGATGCCTGAGCATTACAGCGAAGAAATTAAAGATCTGGTCAAAGGTATTCTACAAACTGATCCTGTGAAACGATATGATGTTAATCAAATACTGTCCCAACCAGTGCTCATTAATGCATTGCTAGATCTTGAAACAGATATCGGAAGGATTCCATGTAACTAGTAAGAATTATGTTCAAATTATTTAAAATGTAGAGTTACTTTGTGTTTTGATAATATTTTTTTTATAATTATGCTTTTTTTTTTGTATTATAGCTTTTTTTCTAAAAATTTTTCTAAAAAATTTAGCAAAATGTTTTTTTTTATTTAATAAAGTAAACCGATTGTTTGTTTTTTTATATAAAAAACGTTTTTTTTTTAATATAAAAAACTTGTTTTTTTTTTATATAAAAAACTTGTTTTTTTTTTATATAAAAAACTTGTTTTTTTTTTATATAAAAAACTTGTTTTTTTTTATATAAAAAACTTGTCTTTCTAAATAAATGATAATTTATTGACAAATATTCATAAGTTAAAATAGACCATTTAAAAAAGTTAGTATAAAAATTTTGGAAAGGGTAAAGTGAAGAAGTTTTTTAGCTTTTATCTTTAAACTAAATTTTACTTTTTTAAAAGTTTTTTGTACCAATCTATTTCTTATTTTCATGGCAAGATTTCTACTTTTACTTCTTTGCGAACTTCACAAAATCTTTGTAGCATTTTAATGCTATTCCATCACGTTTTACAATTTAAAAATAAAGCTATCCAAAGAACTGAATATTTTAAGATTGAAGATTGTCATCATTTCTGAATGGGGACTTTCTGAAGATTTTAATAGTTTTACAAATTTTACCAACAATAGCACCAATATCATAAACTAAGTTTGTCTCAGTGCCTAATTCATCACAGGCCTCTATTGTTTTTTCTTAATTCTCTTCCTCTTCAGTTTAATCATGATTAAATCATCTTATAAGGCTTCTAAAGTATATCACAAACAGAAAGATAGACTACATGTGCAAGACAGCCAACATGAATGTGACTGGTCTTTTTCCCGAATTTCATCATAACACTCGCACATCAGTGATTGTTGCTACAATGTTGTCTAAATCAAATTGGAGTTCAGACAATCTTGACTTAAAAAGTTGAATAGCTTTTTTCAGTGTTCATGCTTCCGTTGAAACGGATCATTCCTAAAGATTGAAAGTCGTCTAAACCATGTAAGATCAGATTCATAAAACAACGATTTCTGACTGAAGTGGATTCGTCAAAGCTTATAGAAAAACGACCTCCTTCTTCTTGAATTTTTTGAATGTCTTGCTTAATTATGGTGATAATTTTACCATATTCTGCAATAAATTGATCTCTGATATTTTGAGGGCATTTTGAATTGTATTTTTAAAATTACCCAGGTAATTTTGAAAAATTACCTGGTTAACAGGTAAGAAAAAACTTGCAAATTACCCAGGTAACGGTTAAGGTGGAACTGGAAGCATCATACTGAACATATCTGCAAACTTGATCCTCAGATGGATTGTTTGCAATAGTAGTAATTTACTGGTAAATTTATTTGTAAATACATCAAGTTACCCTTTACTAAACTCAATCTACCGATGTGAAGCCTTGGTGGAGAGTTAAAAAAAAATTTTATGAACCATTGAAACTTTTTTTGGAAAGTAATAGACTTTAAGTAATATACTTTCCAAGAAGAAGTGAAACAAAATTTACAGTTTGTATTTACTAACTTAAATGTTTTTTAAAACATTATAATATCCTTTTTTAGTTTTCTTTTTTTTTTTTTTTTTATAAATATATGTTTTTTCCAAACTTTTCCTAACTATGACCACAACATACAAACTTTGACAGTTAAGGTTACTATGAAAAATTTGTCGGAAGCACTACTACTAAGATGTAGTAGGGCCAAACTATGCACCTCTACCACCACTATGCTTTTCTACTATCACTTTGCACTACTTGTTATGAAGCCATTATATCACTACCGCAGTCTTATAGAATATTATGTACAATGGAGAAACTATCTTTAATATATTTTTTTTTTTTTATATAGTGTGTGTGGTTGTGTGTCTGTGTGTGTATGTATTTAGGTGTGTAACTCACTGAGTAAACACTGAAATCATACAGAGTTTTGGTCTATAACACCCTTTGCAAAATGTCTTGAACATTTGAGTATCAAGTTAATCTTGATTTTCAAAGAGTTTTGAAGTAAGTTGTTCTGTCAAAGGTTTGAAAAAAACCAGAGATATTTCAAAAATGGTTTTTCAAGTTTTTAAATTGTATAACTGGTTAACCAATTTTATACCAGATATTTCATTATAAAATAATTTTTTTTATTATTGGTGTAAAAAATCAATGTAACCTACTGAGATTATATACTGTAAATTAAAATGATATGTAACTTAAAAAAAGAAAAATGTCTAAAAAAGCAAAAGCAAAAAGTCTAAAAAAGCAAAAGCAAAAATCTTAAATTAAACTTTTTTAAAATTTAGCAAAACCTTTTTCTTTAACAAAGAAAAAGGTTTTGCAAAGATGCAAAGAAATTAAAGTTTGTGCACTTTAAAAAGCACACATTAAAATAAAGTAGCTGTCACTTTATAATCATATTTTTGTATTCAATTTTTACAAAGACTAATTTTTCTTCATATTGCATTTCTTCATATCTCAACACATTGTTGCAATAGGTCAATTGTTACTGCAGATTTTTGGAAAAATATTTTTTATATAAATATTTTTTGTTTTACACTTTCATTATTACAGAAAACTCCTATATTTAAATTATGATCTCCAAAAAAAGAGTTCAACTTCAGACATATTGAGTTAAGCTTCAGATATATACTACTATAAGGAATATTTAATACAAAAGTTGACTAATATAAGTAAAAATATTTTTTGTTTTTTGATTATTTTAGTTAGAGTTTTTTCTCTTAAAATTAATTTATACAGTAAGCAGTAAGCAGTAAGCAACCTGTAATAAGGGTTAGTAATAAATAAATAACTAATAACAATTCAACTTGTTATATTATCTAAAAAATATAAAATACAAATTCATCTATATATAGGGCTGCCATTGTCCCAGTTTTTCTGCAGATGAGTGCTATAAAAGTTTTAATTTTAATTAGTTTAGCGTTGTGCTCTCCTCACCTCAGCTATCCTCTGTAAAAATCTGGAGTAGGAAGCCCCATTTATATAATATAGTCTTTTTGGTTTTGCTCGCTTTTATTTGTCTTAGCATTTAGTCAACAACAAAAAAGCCACATAACTTAAGTTATTAGGTTCTTTTTAATAACAGCAAGCACCAGAGAAGGAAAGCCAAGTACAACTTTTGTTTTAGAATAAGTAAGTTTATTAATAAAGGGGAGCATTATTTTACATATTTATTATTGTTTTCATGAATTAGTGACTCGCAAAACATTTCTTTTACATGGTCATTATTTTTTTTTTTTTTTTTTTTTTTTTTTTTTTACATTATTCACCTCCCCAAGGCCCGAGGGGGCCACTACAGTCGAGGAGGCTACTCATTTTTTTGTGTTTTTTATTTTTTGTTGTATTTCGTGGTACAACCCTCTCTCAACTCTTTAACTCCGAAACACGAACCTTGACAAGCAAGGCCGCTGCGCGGAGAAACTAAGTTGAGCGCGGTACTTCCAGGGACGTGGTGGGAGTCGAACTCCGAACCTCTCGCTTATAAAGCGAGCGCTCTTACCACTACACCACTGCCGCATTTGATTATGGTACCAAAAAATACATAGAAGCTTAGTAATAACAAAGTGTTCCAAGAATGCTCGTCTTTGTTAAAAAACTTTTGTTAAACAGAGAGGAGACTGTGTTTCAAAGGCAATGTGTTAAAAAAAGGTTACAAATTATTATAATCATAACTTAACTTATTGTTTATAATGACGATAACAAAAATATATATATATTAGCACAAAATAGCTATAGCACAATTAACCTTTAAAAAAAGGCTTTCTAATGTTACCACTAAACAAAATAATTATTACCTCAATAGTTGAGAATTCCAATTTCTTTATATTTGTTGAATAATGATAAACAGTAAATTTCATATCATATAAATTTACTAAATGAAAGCCATGTTTCAACAGTAAGCAAACTAATAAAGCAAAAATCATTTAATTTTACTAAATGAAAACCATGTTTCAACAGTAAGCAAACTAATAAAGCAAAAATCATTTAATTTTACTAAATGAAAACCATGTTTCAACAGTAAGCAAACTAATAAAGCAAAAATCATTTAATTTTACTAAATGAAAGCCATGTTTCAACAGTAAGCAAACTAATAAAGCAAAAATCATTTAATTTTACTAAATGAAAACCATGTTTCAACAGTAAGCAAACTAATAAAGCAAAAATCATTTAATTTTACTAAATGAAAACCATGTTTCAACAGTAAGCAAACTAATAAAGCAAAAATCATTTAAATTTACTAAATGAAAACCATGTTTCAACAGTAAGCAAACTAATAAAGCAAAAATCATTTAATTTTACTAAATGAAAACCATGTTTCAACAGTAAGCAAACTAATAAAGCAAAAATCATTTAATTTTACTAAATGAAAGCCATGTTTCAACAGTAAGCAAACTAATAAAGCAAAAATCATTTAATTTTACTAAATGAAAACCATGTTTCAACAGTAAGCAAACTAATAAAGCAAAAATCATTTAAATTTACTAAATGAAAACCATGTTTCAACAGTAAGCAAACTAATAAAGCAAAAATCATTTAATTTTACTAAATGAAAGCCATGTTTCAACAGTAAGCAAACTAATAAAGCAAAAATCATTTAATTTTACTAAATGAAAACCATGTTTCAACAGTAAGCAAACTAATAAAGCAAAAATCATTTAAATTTACTAAATGAAAGCCATGTTTCAACAGTAAGCAAACTAATAAAGCAAAAATCATTTAATTTTACTAAATGAAAACCATGTTTCAACAGTAAGCAAACTAATAAAGCAAAAATCATTTAAATTTACTAAATGAAAACCATGTTTCAACAGTAAGCAAACTAATAAAGCAAAAATCATTTAATTTTACTAAATGAAAACCATGTTTCAACAGTAAGCAAACTAATAAAGCAAAAATCATTTAATTTTACTAAATGAAAGCCATGTTTCAACAGTAAGCAAACTAATAAAGCAAAAATCATTTAATTTTACTAAATGAAAACCATGTTTCAACAGTAAGCAAACTAATAAAGCAAAAATCATTTAAATTTACTAAATGAAAACCATGTTTCAACAGTAAGCAAACTAATAAAGCAAAAATCATTTAATTTTACTAAATGAAAGCCATGTTTCAACAGTAAGCAAACTAATAAAGCAAAAATCATTTAATTTTACTAAATGAAAACCATGTTTCAACAGTAAGCAAACTAATAAAGCAAAAATCATTTAAATTTACTAAATGAAAGCCATGTTTCAACAGTAAGCAAACTAATAAAGCAAAAATCATTTAATTTTACTAAATGAAAACCATGTTTCAACAGTAAGCAAACTAATAAAGCAAAAATCATTTAATTTTACTAAATGAAAACCATGTTTCAACAGTAAGCAAACTAATAAAGCAAAAATCATTTAATTTTACTAAATGAAAACCATGTTTCAACAGTAAGCAAACTAATAAAGCAAAAATCATTTAATTTTACTAAATGAAAACCATGTTTCAACAGTAAGCAAACTAATAAAGCAAAAATCATTTAAATTTACTAAATGAAAACCATGTTTCAACAGTAAGCAAACTAATAAAGCAAAAATCATTTAAATTTACTAAATGAAAACCATGTTTCAACAGTAAGCAAACTAATAAAGCAAAAATCATTTAATTTTACTAAATGAAAACCATGTTTCAACAGTAAGCAAACTAATAAAGCAAAAATCATTTAAATTTACTAAATGAAAACCATGTTTCAACAGTAAGCAAACTAATAAAGCAAAAATTTAATTATAATCAGTATAAAAGTTTGATAAAATTTGATGCGTAAAAAAATGTAATAAAAAAATGTAATGACTAATATTAGAACTAAAATATATAACAAATCTGATAATAGTCTAATAAATAAAAGTAATAAAAACTAATAATAAAAAAGTTATTATAATAATCTTAAACTTATTAGACGTGGTATTGTAGAATATCTGAAAGTAATGAGAAACAAAAAGTTGAGTATAACAAAAAGCCATATTTACCATTTATATGGTAAATTTAAATAGGTTAGGTTAAACTTCAATTAAAATATAAAAAATAGCACTTATCTGATGGGTCCAAAAAATTATAATTGGTAACTTGAGAAGAAAAAATAAAATAAAATAAAAAGCTTAACAAATTCTTGATATTTTGATACTAATTAAATAAGATTTATACTTAGTCTTAGTTCTAAAGTGTCTTAAGTAAAAAATAATTAACAGAATATAAAACCAACCAAAACTAAATGGTGCCAAGTAATATCGCAACTTAGTAACATCCCTTGATTGGCAAGGATAATAATCTTGCTTTACACATTGCTTTTAAAACATAAAAAAGAAAACAGAATATAAACATGTTTAAGCTTTGAACATATTATATTTTATAAACTATAAACATTTACTTTATTAAACATGAAAAAAACGAAAATAAAACTGAGATAATTTAACATGACTTCTAACCAATGTTGCATGTTCTGGGTTGCGCACCAATAATGCCATCTCTTGGAAAAAAAAGTGAATAAACCGTAGGATTTAAGTTAGCTGACATACTCAATATAACTTCTAACTTCCTTGGAAGCAGCTGGAGTACCATCTTCTCCAACAAATACAAATGCAACTTCACTAACTATAGTTTGCAAATAAAACATTAAATTATGTAAGCAAAGTTGATTGCTATGTTATTGCTTGCAAAAATTTACTGCTGCAAAATAAAGCAAAATAAAGGCAGGGAATATAATTTGTAATACATTTAAAAAAAAAAATTGATATTAGAATTATGATATATATATATATATATATATATATATATATATATATATATATATATATATATATATATAACTTCCTGTAAATCTTGCAGAAATAGTGAAGAAATATAAATTGAAGCAAAACTACCTTCCCATCATGAAAACATAACAAATGTGTTTCATGAAGAGATTTTTTAGAGCAACAATGCTGACAGATCTGTTTCATTTCTCCTAAATAATTACAATCTAGAATAGTTTCACAATTCAATATATTCAACAAAAAGAAGCAATATATTCAACAACAAAAAAAATCAAATGCAATTACTTTAGAATATATATATGAAATATGAACCTCTACAATTATTAAAAAACTTATTAGTTTAACCTCTGGTTTATTTTTAAAAAGAACATTGACGTCAAAAATTAATAAACAAGTATTAAAATAATTTTATTATTCAAAATAACAATTAATAAAAACCGAAAACAGTTTAATTTAAGATTTATTGAAATTCATATCTTTTTATAAGTTTATATAGATATATAAGTATATATAATTTACAAAATAGTATGAAAAAAAAAAAATACAAAAATACAAACTGTTTATGAAATGAACTCAAATTTATCTAATATATAAAACATTTATTAGTATCAATTATAAATATTAAAAATATGCAGACTACAATGCACAATATTGTTAATAAAAATGAAGCAGTCAGTCAGTCAGTCAGTATATTTTTATCTAAAGTAATAAAAAAGATGAAACCATCTAAGAAAAAATTTAAAAATTTCTAATAAATGTATATTCAGATACCATTAAAGGAAGCATAACACAACATTCTTTTGACACCTTCTAGAAGAATTTTTCCTATTCCTTATTTTTTTAAATATATTTTTTCAAAGAGAAAAAATATGTATAGATACAGAGAAATATAAAATATACGGAAATATCAGTAAATCTATGTATATAAACTTACATGTCCACAAATAACAGTCTTTGTTTAATTTTTCATGTTAAATACATAAAGTAGGGCGGAGCGATTTTTATAGCAAAAAAAAAAAAGTTGAGAAATCAATATTCCTGAGACATGAATCAATGTCTATTAATTATAAGATAAAAGTAAAAAAATATTTTTTGATTTTGATGAGGTCTTGAGGTTCCTCTTTGGATTCTAAATTCTTGACGGATCCTAATATTTTTGAATTTTGTTTATTTTCTAAACCATATCAACCTTGGACTCAAAAAAATCAGAAAAAAATGCTTGTTTTATCAACAATAAATTTATTAAAATTTTTTTTTTTAAGTGAAACAAATATTTGCGAAAATTTACCTTAAAACCCCCGTTTTGATGAAGACAGGATTTTTTTTATAAAAAAAAACAACACTATCTATTTATCTTTAATTTTTAAATAAAACAAATATTATTTTCAAAATCAGCATATTATTCTGCTTCTTTTGAGTACCAGGTTGATATAGTTTAGAAGAAAAAAATTTCAACAATATTAGGATCCGTCATAAATTTAGAATCCAAAGAGGAACCTCAAAAACTCATCTAAATTAAAAAAAAAAAAGTAGGGTTCCTTTTTCATCAAAAGACATCGATTCGCAGCTCAGGCAAATCAAATTTCAAAAATTTTTTAAATCGCTCCACCCTAACATTAAGTCCAACTTAATAACATAAGTTCCAACTTAAAATAAAACTGAATAGCGAGCTCATTTAGATCAGAATCAGTTTAACTATTTTTACTTTTAATAACAAAAAAACATTTACTTTTAATAACAAACATTTACTTTTAATAACCCTTCTAATAACAAAAAATAACAACAAAGTTAAAATAACTAAAGTGAAATTCAAATTTTTCTAATTGCTATAAAAAATAAAACCTTAAAATATTGTAAAAAAGAGTAAAGACAAAACTGAACCAAAAAGAAATTGCACAGTGCTAATAAAAAAATTTTTTAGCAGTCATTTTAGTTCTAGCTTCTTCTAAAAAATGAAAACAGGCTATAAAAATAAGAAAAATAAAAACAACGAACAACAAACAAAAAATTATTTAAAATTTTTTTTTAGTTTTTAAACAATGAATTCTTATTAATTCTTCTTGAAACTAAAAATTTATCAGCTCTAATTTGCTTGCAGGCCTTGCTTGAAAGACCACGTGGAATATAGAACCATGTATAGAAAAGCCTAGAAACTTTCAAATGACATAAGACAACTATTAACTACTATTAAATTAATTACTAATATTATAGATAACAAAAGTTATCTAAAAAGAAAAGTAGACAAAAGACTTCAAGTACTGGTTTTAGCTTTGTTTTAACTATTATAAATAATTATAAAAATTAAATCTGTAGTATATTAATAATTGTAAAATATAGAAAAAAATTATTAAAGGATTTTTTTAAGTTCAATATATTCACAATATTCTTTTTTTCAATATGAATTGTCAACTTTTCAAAATAAGAAATCTGTGCTAAATCTGGTAATAACTTGATACCAGTAGAAATCTGGTAAAAACTGAATACCTGTAAAAAATTAAACTATTTATCAATTTAAAAATGTATATTTAATCATTATTGCGGCTTTTTTTTAAAGTAAAAAAAATGGTTTTGGATTTTGGAAAAAGTTGATACACAGAAGAAAAAAGCTTTGGTTTGTGAACAAAGGATAAGATTACTAGTACTATTAAATTGCTTAAACATTTTTTTCGAAATAAATATAGCTTTGATTGGTATGGATATTGATTTTTATCTAACAAAAAATGAGTTTAAATTTTAGTTTATACCTTTTATACAAGCTATAAACATGAAACAAGAAAGATACCTACCAAATGCAAAGCTTTTCATAAATGTTTAGTGAAAAATTAAATGCTACTAAATATAGATTATTGGTGTATATTAATATTATATTGCAATATGAGCCTAAATATCACTTTTAATAATGATAAAGCATATAATACGGAACATAATGTTTTATTACTTTATATTATTATTAATATTAAAGATGTCACTTAAATAATATATATGTATATATATATATATATATATATATATATATATATATATATATATATATATATATATATATATATATATATATATATATATATATATATATATATATATATATATATTCTTTTTAATAATAACTTAAACTAAAAACAAATCTAAAAATAAATTTTTTAAAGCAGTATTGATTATAACTGTTTCAGCAATTTTGTAAGTTATCAAAGCAAAAAAGCATTTAACCGCAATGCAACAAGTTCTGGAAACATTTTATTAGAAAAAGAAGTTTACAGATCAAAGTCATTTACATCTTGGGGTAATTTTATTAGTGTTACAAAAACATGTGCCATTTTTTTTTAAAAATTGAAATCTCTTAAAGTTTTAAGAATGTATTAATAATACTTTTAAATTTGTAATAGGTGATGAAGCTTCCAGACAGGCAGCTGAACAAACATCAGTAGTTTATTGTTGGGGAAATGGTTTGTATTTACCTACATTTCTACCAAGTCCAGGAGCTGATCAATTTATTAAGGAAGTTTGTGTTGGAAGAACAAAAAAACTTGGTCTAACTTCAAATGGTCGAGTATTTATGTGGGAGGTTAGTTTTTTTGTGAATTATGGGTCATTTATAATTATTAAAATTTAATAAAATATGATGAAAAAAAAATTAATAGAGTATTTTGATATAATAAAGATAACATGTTGATATATATTAAAGATATTATATATATTAGCCCCCACCATTTTAGCAATATTTTTGAAGTTTGTTATTCGAATTCTAATGCCTTGTGATGAGTAATTGTGGCAATAGAAAAATTGATAAATTTTTTTTATAAAGTTTTTTGTTACTTTGGTAGTTTTTTTAAATTTTCAGACTTTTTTCTATTTGGTTCTGACTGAATGTTTTACTCTGCTATTAACAGAACAGGTTGCTTCAAAACTTCATTAACTTTCAAGTGCTTCTTGAATATGTTTTAGAACTCTAGTGTTTATATACCCAGTCCTGAAATCTTCTGTAAGAACTAATTTTTATCCATTTCTTTCAACTAACTTGACACCGCTCAAGATCATTCTTTTTAAATCCAAGGTTCTCAAAAACTAGCCTACTTATACCTTTTATGAATGATTCTGGATTAGAAGTATTTGTATCTTTGTATTGGTCTTTTGGCTTGTCGATATCTCTTAGAGTCAGTGTTAAACATTTTTATAGCAATACTTTCTTTAACTTTAGGTTCATCTCTTAGTGTTAGAGTTAAACAACAACAACAACAACAACAACAAGCTATTTGTTTTCCATAAATCATTTTTACAATTGTTTTGTAATATAATAATAATATAATAATAATAATACTAATAATAATAGTAATAATAATATATAATATACAGGGCGCGAAAAATTGTTTTTTTTAAATAAATGTTGACATTCGTTTCTTTATTTATTGACGAACGTCTAATTTAAGAGGTATGTCAAATATCCACCCCCTCCCCCCTCCACACATACACAATTTTTTTTTTTAAGAGAAATTTATTTAAGAGAAATTCTAGATAAAGAGGACTTTTTTCATTAATAATTGGTTGCGCACCTCCACTTTGAACCCGTGTGTCGGCCAGAATTTCATTTTAACTTCTTTAATTTTTTTTTTTTATTATTTAAATAATTTTTTTATTTAATTATAAGGGAGTTTTATTTTCAAATAACTTTTATTCTAGTTAATAAGATATATGATAATTAGATATATCAAAGATACTTATCGAATTTTATCAATTTTTTATTATTTTAAAACAATTTTTCATGCACTTGCAATGTGTGCGCAAATTAATAATAACTAATATGCAATAAACTTTTCACTGTACTGTTATCTATTAATAAAAAATTGTGAATTTTTTTCAATTTAGTTTGTTAAATTATAAAAAAAAGATATAAACTTGATAAAATTTAAATAAAAGGGAATTATATAAAAACAAAATAAAAGTTATTTTGACATTTTTATCTTTTAAATATTTAAAAATAATAATATAGTATTAAGCATTTAATAAGTTATTAAATTTATAATTTAATAAGTTACTATTAAATACCTGATATGCTATTATTATATTTATAATATTAAGTATTTAATAAAAAAATAATTATATTATTGGTTATTGTTAAACGCACAGTAAAAAATGAAAACTATAATCAACATAATAGTTCTATAAAATCTAATAAGTTTTACATATTTCTGAAATTTTTTTTTAAAACTTTAAAAGTAGCAAGTAAACATTAATTTAATGATAATAAGAAAAGCATGCCTTTAGAAAAAGAATGTTTTAGCATGGTTCCATTTAAAGTAATTGCAAATGCATTCATTTTAAGTTAAACTTGCCATTCTTTGGTAAACGCATGTAAAAACCATGCTAAATATAATTTTTTCTACAGTTGCATACTTAAAAGAAACGCTATTGAAGATCTTCAATAGCGTTTCTTTTATTAAAAGAAACCGCGCAAATACTTTCTTAAGAAAGGTTTCTTTTAATGTCATTGAAACTGCGTTTTAAATTTTAGTAAATTATTTTTTTTATATTAATTATGTTTTTTTTTATAATAAATAAAAAACTATCAATCGCATAATTATTTGGAAATAAAAAATTGCTGAAGACATGCGTTCGTTTTTAAAAAATTTAAGCGAACACCAACGTTTGCTTAAGTAAAAGTAAGGAAACGTGATGTTCGTTTTTCTGTCTTTTTTTTAACAAACGTTTGCACATTCGTCGATTTGTCGCGTCCTGATATATAATGGCAATATAAGATAAAAAAATACAAATTATAGTAATAGTAATAAGTATGTTTACAATAATTACAATAAAAAAGTAATAATAAATGTTGTAATGGTAGTTATAAACATAAATTAATTATAATAATAATTTATTGATTTATTAAAACGACTTCACTCATACAGAAATTTGATCAAAGGAGTGAAACCAGTTTTTATATAAGTAACAATAAGCAAAGACATACATTAAAACACATGGATCGTAAACACATAGATTAAAGGACATAGAAGATAGATTAAAAACAAACATGTAGAAATCATAGTTTGAAGGTTTTTATGATATAAAAATAAAGAAAAAAAAATAAACAAACAAAAAGTACTAATGATAACAAAAAGAAAATTAAAAAAATATTTTAATAATAAGGATAATAATGTCTAAAAGTAAGAATAAAAAGTTTTTCAGGATTTTTTAAAATTGGTTTTGTTTAAGATGGAGTAAAGGTATTTTGGATGTAGTTTTTTGGACTCATTCAAAATGCATGCAAGGCTCCTGTTCCATTAACATACGCACTGATAAATAATAGAATGTTTACCATACTTCTGGGTTTTAAAAGATGATACATTAAATTTTCGATTGTGTATATTTCTATTAGAGTTTGAATGTCTACTTCTGGGTTTTAAACTGTGAACAAGTTTGTGATGGAAGATAAGTTTTTATTCAAGAACAAAAAGAAGATTAGCATACTTTACTTTACTTTACTAGTGCTGGAAATGTTTGAATGAAAAGTTTTTTGAAAGACTCTGATGTATCTGATTTAATTGGTTGGAAGTTTATTAATCTAATGGATTGACACTGAGGCGATAGCACCTTGTTAATGTGAGTCAGGTTTGGGGTCAAGTTGGAAACTTGACACCAAACTTGACAACAATAGCTAAGATGAGATAAGAATAATGCATAGTAAATATTCTTGAGGTTAAACTTATCAACATAATGATGAATTATTGAAAGCATACCATTAGCTCGAGATTATTTTTTGCATAGTTCATCAATGTGAAAGTTCCATGAAAGATTGGCATTTGTTTTGTAATTTGTCAAATAACACACCAAGATATTTAATAACTCTCGAAGGATATAGTCGTTTATTATTAATTTTGATTTCAACATTTTTAAAGATTAAAAAATTAGTTCAATTTTTTTGTTGTTAAGACATATTAAGTTAGCATTTAACTAGTGAACTATACCTTTTAAAATCAAAATTAAGATTTTCACATAAAGAATGATAAGATTTGATGATGTGCAAGAGATTTGTGTCATCAGAAAAGAGATGAACTGACGAGAAGTGAACAGTTTGGTTGTTAATGTAAATTTAAAAAAAAAAGAGGAGCTAGAACATAAGCTTTAGGAACACAAAACTGATTTATTACTAGAATTGAAACTAAAATTTCTTGATTTTTTCTGTGTTTTGATCAGAATGTTTTGATCAAAAACCAAATTGAAATTTATTTAAACTATTAAATGAGTTTAGAAAAAAGTACACTTAGTAAGTTTCCCAAGAAGCTTACTAATGTTAGATAAAAGAGAAAGGTTAGTGATATAATAAGTTAGAAATAGTTAGTGAATGAAAGTTTAGAGCCATTTTAATATATTGGAATAATGCAAGATAATTTCAAAATATTAGGAAATGTTTCATTTATAAATGAGGTATTAAATAGTTTAGAAAGAATATTTGAAAATTCATAGTTAAAATCTATAAGAATATATTTTATAATACATTTTTTCATTTTTCAAATCGGCTAAGATTGCTTGTAGGTTTGTATTTTTTTGAAAATTTTTTTTTTTAATAAAATTGAAAAAACAACTTACAACATAATTTTGTTTAATATTAATATAAAAGTATACTACATACTTGGGAGGATGAGTGTGGCAATGCAAATGAAATATTTTTACTTTATTTTATTTTACTTTTATATAAAAAGTTTTTATCCTTTAAAAAAATATATTCCGCTCCTTTAATCAGGAAATTTCTTTAATAACAATTAAAGGCTTGATTTAATTACAAATGTCTTGACAAACTCTCTGTAAAGACTAAAAAGTAGAAAATAAAAAAAAAACATTTGCTAAGAAATATAATCTTTTTTGCGAAGAAGTATAATCTTTTTTGTACTAAAAAGTAGAAAATAAACTTTTTAATTTAAATTTAATAGCTCAGTAAACTAAAGATTGACAGGTATTTATTTATTTATTTATTATAGATGCAACTGCTACATAAATATTATGTGAATCTAACAAATAATTTGTAGACTATGGCAGTCCAATATATTTGCAATAATCTGTCACTTATTAGAATAATGTTTATCAAGTCTGTTTTTAAATTGGAAAACATTATCAGCCTCAACAACTTCTCTGGTTAGTTGATTCCAGTGTGAAACCATTCTATTAGTAAAGAAGAATTCTCTTTGGCTAATGTTTATCTTGGTTTGCTTGATGATACGGTGTTGATTATTTCTAATCGCTCCTGCAGGACCTTGAAGCTGATGCCGATACGGCTGTTTTATTGGGGACTTGCCAATTTACTTTTATGATGCTGTTGGAGATTTTAAAATAATCAATAAACATTCCCCTAATTCTTCGTTTTTTAAGGGTAGTTAAACCAAGAAATTTGAGTCTCGATTCATAGTTTAGCTTAGTAGCTCGTCTTTGTATTCTTTCAAGATTTTCTTTTTTCCTGTAAGGATTCCATGCTGAAGAAAATGTTTCCAGATGAGGTCTTACAAGTGATGTGTACAAAATCTTGAATGATTTTACATTCCAATAATCGAAAGTTCTTTTAAGCATTTCCGAGAGTAT